CCACGCCGTCGCGCGGGCGGATCGTGATGCTGTGCGCGCGCGTACCGGTGATGGGTAAGGCGGGGAGGATGTGCGGCGACCATGCGCCGGCAGCGAGGACAACATGGGTCGCGGGGATGGTGCGCGTTGCGCTGTCCGCCCCGCGCTCGGCGTAGGTGACGCCGGTGACTGAGCCTGCTGCGTTGTCGATCTCAATCGCGGTCGCCTTACCTGCGACGAACTCGAGGCCCTTCTCCTGCGCGAGCTCGAGCATGCTCGTGGTGAACAGGCGCGGATGCACCTGCGCCGTCGCGCCCGCCGGCGCCATCGGTGAGTACGCGTCCGTCAGCTCCGCCTTGACCCACGTCAGGTCGTCCGGTAGGCCCGTCGGTGCTTGCGTCTTCGCGGGAGTGCTTGCGTCGAGCCCGTTCGTCTTCTCGAGGCTCTTGCGCTCGCCGCCCTTGCCCACGCCCGTGCCGGTGTCCTCTCTGGCCAGCTGTCCACGTCCCTCCCAGCTTCCGCACGCAACGAACCGCCAGCCCCAGCGCTGTGTGCCGTTATGCTCCTGCGCGAGGCGGACGTGCTCCGGGAATGAGACGTTGACGAGCTCCTTCGGGTACGCCCACTTCGCGACGAGACCACCTGCCTTCCCCGAAGCCCCTTGCGCAGCACCGTAGACAGAGGCCTCAAGTAGCGTCACCTTCGTCCCAGACGTGGCGAAGGCGGGGTGCGAACACAGATAGTACGCCGTCGTACAGCCTATGATTCCTCCTCCGATTATGACGATCTGACGCACAGGGTGTTCGGAAGACATGTTCGAAGGCTGGCGTCAGGAGGGGGTCGGAATTTGTGGTAAGACTGGACGTTGTCGAGAGTAGAGTCGGGCCTGGCTGAAGTGCTGTTTTCAAGGGGATAGATGTGTAGATCAAGTATCATCGACGAATGACGTCGGACGGCCGCAGCGGCCCGCATGAGCCGATTTTATCGTGTACCTTTTAAGCCGCCATTAAGAAGGGGAACGGCCACATTTAACGTTGCCTGGATGCTGGCCTAAGAATCAGCGTCGAGGTAAGTGACACCACGCAACATTGATTGATAGCGAAAGGGGAAGGGTATGACCTGAACTCGTCTCAGTGCAAAGCACGACCGCATCATCCAGATCTCATGCTCACCCTGATCCCCTGGATTATCGCTGAGCCCAGCTGGTTCGTTTTCGCGAAAGATACATTCATAGCTAGGCTGCACAGCGAGCCCATGGAGACGATGCAGCCACAGATCGGGATGGGACGACGGGGACCCGAAGATCTTGCACCGCCAGATCGTCAGGGTCGCCCAGCCCACGATCACCGGCAAGTCGTCGACGCGTCGTGTCTTTGATCGGTGCACCTGCCTCTCAGCCGAAGTTGTCTACCGATGCCATCGAACGCTGCGCCAACACAAGCATCCGCGAGCACCATACACCTTCCTGTGTCCTCACCTGGCTGTCGTCGCAGCCGTCGAGTACTGGGCCTCGGGCGCCAACCCTGCCCTGACTGCGCGACCACACCGACCCGCACGCCGTGCAAGGCGGCCGCGCGCGCGCTGTTCCGCAACATACTCGGCTCGCGTGCATTCGCGAGCGCGTACGAGGGCAGAAGCGTATGGATAAGCCGGGCGTGGAGCGCATCATGGACCGCGCGATGCACACGTTCTTGCCGCCAGACGAGTGCCTGGGGCGCCCCGCGGACGTTGAGCGGGCAGTGCGGCCGCTTCTCGCTCGTCGAGTGCGTGTTCCGTGCTTTCATTCGAATGGCTCGCACGTTTAACCCACTTATTCTGCAGCACGAAGGCCTTGATCCTCACGCTCGTGTGCAGTCTCGCGTTCGAGCAGGCCGGTCCCGGCCCAGGAGACGCGAGCGACCCTCCGGCGCTCGCCCCCGCGCGACGTTCAGCATCGTCCGCCGCACGCGTGGGACCGCAACGCCCGTGTACAGCCGCTCGAACAGCGACCGGTCAGACTCGGGGCGGGGCGCCTTGCCCATCGGCCGCACCGTCGCGCGCAGCTGCGCGCGCCGCACGCCGCGCGCACACATCAGCCAGCGCACAAGACAAGACAACGCACTGGTCGCCCGCGGGCAGCCCTTGACGAGCGGGATGAGCGCGACGGGCTCCGTGACCTGGGACGCCTCATCGACCAGCATGGCCGCAAAGCCCATGCCGCGCAGCACACCCAGCCCCGCGCCCGCGCACGTCGTGAACACGATGCGCGCCTCCCGCGCGCGCTGTCTGTCGCCACGCGCAGGATCTGAGCGTCCTCCAGCAGGCGCCACGCCTCGTTCTCCGCCAGGAAGCACTCCAGCATGTTGTCGACCGCTGCGACGGGACGCACGTCAAGGGCGCCGGCGTCCGCAGACGCAACCGCAGCCTGATGCCTCCCATCAAGCGACCTGGATGCTGCGAACCGCAGAGCCGCGCCGGACGGCCGCGCCGCCAGCGCGCATCAGGCCCCGCGAGCGCGACGCTGGACAAGACAGAATCACGCGCGCAAGCGGCGGAAGCTGCAGGGAATCGCCAAGATCGTCGTCGATGGTCCCCGCAACACCCGCGCCATCGCAGCGGGGCGATCTAGTTCGTGCGCGCCGTCTCACTGACTCCGCTGCCATCCTTGCCCTCACAGAATACATTGGTCGTGCGCCGCGAACAGGCCAAGAGATTCACCATGCGCGCGCTCTGCCCGGTCACTATATTTACTCAGACATACGGCTCCCGCTGCCTGTCCATCAACCATCCCGCCTCGTCGCGCTTGCAGCGATGAGGGCGCAAATCGGCCGTGTCGTCGATGGTCCGCTCAACGCTTGCGCCGTCGAACGATGCCGGGCGCACATCGTAACGACGAGGGACTTGGTTCGTGCGCGCTGTCTCTGTCCCGCGCCGTCTCACTCCTGACGCTGCTAGCCGCGCCTAACAGGATAAATCGTGCGCCGCAAACCAGTCAGAAGGTCCGTGATGCACGCGACTCCAAATCCTCACCTCTCGCGTGCGTCATCCCCGGTCACCATCTACTCTCACACACATCAGTGGGCGCGTGCGCGAGACGGACAGCCGCCTACACACGCGCGTTGTCAATGCTTTGTCGAGGCAGGCGACGAAACAAGCGAGCGCAGTGTCCTCGCCAAAGAAACTCGCCCCGCGTCCTGACGGGCCTACTGTGACAGCTGAGCAGGCGCAGCTCGAGCCCGAACTTGTGGTGCGTCAAACATCTTGCCCGCCTCACGACTGCCTTGCCGTGCTCCACACCGCGAAAGCACTCAAGGGACACGCCTTACCGCGCCCGCTGTTCTCGTTCGACGCCAGCGCCGCCGAGGAAGCGGATACAAGTCAGACCAGCGGTGCGGTGCCCGTTGTACATCCGCCGCCCGGTTGCCGATTCCCCTTCGCATATGTCCCTGCATCCGCCGATCATCTCCCATCAATCTCATCTGCCCATCCGCTCGTTTCCCGCCCCGCGCACCTGTTGCTAACACGACGCTCCGCTCTTCCAGGTTCGCTGAGCGATCGCGGACTTTCAATTGCAAGCTCGTCTGCTTCTCGCGCACGCTCGTGTCCCCTCTCGACTCGCACGATGTCAGCACCGTTAGCCGGGTCTGTACAGAGCGCGGCCTCTCACCCTCGATCAAGGCTGCTGGGTATGTTACAGCCGGTCGGTTGCCGGGGATGTGATCAGACATTAGGATGCTGCGCGAGTGTGACATCGAGCCGCCTCTGGACGCGTCTGAGCGATATGCCGCTTTCCTAGGGCAAAAACGAAGGTCGTGCAGGCGGGCAAGTCACGATCACCCACTTGATTATGTGTCGCTCGAAGAGTCCAGTATGGCGGCCGAGACGCGAACACCTACACATCGCACATCGCGGTAAGCGTTTGCATTCGCAGACCACCGCCAGTCACTCACCAGTTGGCCCAGATGTAGAACGTGGTGTTCTGACTGGCTGACCGTTAGTTTCCACGCGCCCGCGGACTGCTGAATCTCAACAACATACCGCCGACACCTCGCGGAATTCACTGACACGCGCTACACAGGGGAATGGTCTTCAGTACGCCTAAATGGCATGCACGGTGAGCAACGGGATATATTACTCCGCAACACGACGGCGGCTTACCTAAACAGTGTCCATCCGCACAGCACCATTTGGCCTGGACAGCGGGCGAGCAGGACACAGGACGGGCGCAGCGGAAACCGAGTCGTCAGCCATGAAGGAACTTTTAACGATGCCCGCCTTTAAATCCCTCGCATGCTGCCCCGACCTGTCGCCATTCCCACGACTGCCGCCTGGACATCTTACCCAGGCGCGGCGGCTCTTGTCTCGCATCGGCTGCCCGTTGCTAAGCTGTCACTCACCCGAAGCTATGCCGGCAGCTCCCTGCGTTCCCGCCCGCGTACCTTAGTGCGGTCATTCTGCCTGACGCGGACGGACGCACTCACCGACGTATGCACCCTCTAGAACTACCGGCCCCCACGTCGTCCGTCACCCTTATTGCTACGGTGGCGACATCTGCGTCGCACGCAGCGTCCCTGCGCAACTGATGCCATACTCGTACCCGTGCCGCGTTGCGCAAAATACTCCGGCGCAAAGATCCAGGGCTGGTGTTGCGTACCTGGTCAGATGCCATCAGCTAGGAACATAAGGCAAACGGTGACAAGCACAGCACCGAGCAGCATGCACAACGAGACTGCGCGGAGCCCTCGCGGCACGGACTTGCACACCCCGACCACAGAAGGGGCTGACGGTGCCCGTCCGTCAATCAAAACAAGTCAGACGGCAGAACCCCGTGCACACTGCCCGCGCCTCCGCGATTCCGACGTGAAACAAAGGCGCTCTGCTCCTACAGCACTGTGTGATCACAGCGCGTCAGTGAGCTCTGTGCAAACCCCCGGCTTGGCGGTTGCGATGGTGCAGAAAGGCATCGCATCCGCTAGATGATCGGATGAACTGCCGTCTTACGACAGAGCGCTGTAACATCAAACACGGGCATACGACATCGTCGATCTGCACGGTGACACCAGCGGGAGCTGACATACGGTGGCGTTTATGGTACGTATTTTATTTCAATTGATGTGATGTGTTCACACCGTGGGCGGTGTCGAGGCTAGGATGCGCGTGCGCACGCAGTCTCCCGCACGCAGTCAGGACGCGCTGCTCAGGATGCGCTGCCCATGCTGTCGTGCGCACTTGGCCGTCGCGGACGCCCGCGGCAGCAGCAGCAACGTGACAGAAATATAAGATATATATTTATTGGCGACACTGGAGCGTGCGGCGCGTGGTTGGAGGGCCAAAATGGACCGCTGCTGTTCACCAATGCATGCTGTGTTGACGCACACCCGCCGAGTGCGCGCAGGCTGTCCAGAACATCTGTGATGCACCCCGCAGGGACGCACGGCACACAGCAACCTGGAGCGGAAGGGTGGCGCCATCGTGAACATTATCAAGTCGAGTCGCTCGTCTCTGCACGCGTCTCTGCCCTCGTGTCTGCCGTGTCGCGTCTGCCCTCGTGATCGCATGCACCGCCATCTGCTGTCCTATTGGTCAACGGTCAGCAAGCAGACCCGGTCAGTGTGTTCGCCATTCAAGTGCGAATAGGCATTAACTTGCTCCCGCCACCAACACACTCCGCACCGGCCTATTGTTCCTGTAAAGTACACCCACTCGTTGCGGGCACCTCCTGTGACCATCGCACTGAGATGGCAGGGCCCTGGTGTCAGTTGTCGGACGCGGGCATGCCAACGGATACAGACTGGTCGTGTCAGTTCTCTTGCCTGATTTTGCATGTCCCGGCCCTCCCCGCAGTCTGCCCGGCGAGCCTCGTGCACGCAAACGTGGTAAGGAGCTCACCGCTGTGCACCGAGCAACTAGGCAACGCGCTCTCGGCACAGAATGTGTTCCATCAAGATCTAATAACAATGCAATATATTTCTTGACACAGTCAGTTCACTGCTTGTGCGGAATCATTGTGCCCAACATACCGGCTGCACACCACCATATGAGAGGTACCCATTGCTGCAGAATCGGAATGGCCAGCGTGCGCGATCAACGATCGGGAACATGTCAAATACGCACATTGTTGTGTCTCTCAATGAGGTAATGAGATGAAACAACGGGGAACTCACCCACCGCAACACGAGTGATGTGTCGCTACCATCAGGCATGCCGCATACTTTGAATGTGCTCGCGGGGGCCTCGGTGTGTTCTGCGGAATGCTGTAATGTCCGCAGCATGAGTTACCAATCAAGCCAGAGGTGCGACTTGGCTGTCAACAAAACCGAGAGCTTACTGGTAGTGCATTTCCGTACAGTCGTGCTTTGCCTGCAAACTGTACTGTCATCAGTTGTTCTTTGCTTTCTTCATTACTAACCTCGCATTGTGTTTAGACCTGCATCCGAGTCGGGCTATCTTCATGACCAGCGAGAATGTTCTGCAGCCACTGTCGCGGCCATGGCAGCTGTACAAGACACGCTATCGTCGGCTCAAAGGTGCATTGCGTGATGTTGTGACCGAGGATCTCCGTATGTGTTCTTGCTTCTCACGCTATTCTATCCATCTGATGCTCGTTTAGGAGAGATCACGGGCAACCGGACCATCAGGATGTCATGGACCGCAGTCGACTTTCACCAACGAGTTGAGCTGCCATACGGTGTTGCCCTTGTGGGATGGCCAACCAATGTTGCCCGCACAAACCTCAGCAAGATCGGAGGGTGTGAGATTCTCGATGATCTGCTCATGAAGTGGCAAACGGGCAAAATGCGGTTTGAGCGTCTGGAACCGGCAAAGCGGCCTGTCAGGCTAGAGCTTCGGCGATGCACACGGAGTGATACCGGGCGCTCGCATGTGTTTGTTGACAAGAAAGTGTCATTGAAGCGAATGCGACGGGGTAACAAGGTTCCGAAAAGTGCGCCGATCATCGAAAACTCAGATGTTGGCTCAGATGCAGATGCCGCCGCCGAGGGGAATATCGGGAGCAGGGCAGAGTCAGCTGATGAAAACGAGAGTCGAATTTGCAAGCGGCGCAGGCTGGATCTCGGCAATCTTGCTGATGACCAAAATGGCAACTCATCAGCTCCGGAAACAATTGAGGATTTCTCATCAGATGCCCGGTCACTTGCCGAGACGATTGAGGATGCCGATGACTGGGAGTAATACGAGACTATTATTACAGGATTATTGCATATGTACAGTCCCATATGCTGACATCCCAGCATCACGGTGATATTACCTATTGCGACATTGCCAGGCGAGTGTATAAGGGGAGATGTCAGCTGCGGTACCCCGAGTGCCATCTCTACTTTGTAGTGCCCGCCTCCCAATTAACATGGCTCCCGGGCTGTCTGGTATGTCTCGCACAACTCCATTGTCTGGTATACTCCGACACATGTCAAGTGGATCTCAGCGCAGCGCACAGCTACAATAAGGTACATTGCTCCTCGCCACGGTTGTGCGCATCATACTCACCATGTCAAAGGATGAGCGGGGCATGGTGCGCGATGCAAGGGCGTAGTGGGCAGATCTCGGGGATGCATGCACACGGAGTTTGCCTCGGACCGGGCTGCAATACACCTGCGCCGGGATGATCAGACGGTGCGAGCGCGGAGGAGAGGTCGTGAGGCCGCGCGCACACCTGTTGCGCGCACCGACGACTGAGCGTCCCGTGCGATCCGCCTCAAGGCACGGGCGGGTGTGTCGCCAGCCATTGATGCGCCTCGTCTGTGCGCAGCCCTCCTGCAGCCTGCTTGCGCCACAGAGTGTATGTGGTCTTGCTCGCTCGCGTGCAGACTCGCTCGTGTTCTCCCACTAGCACTAGCCTACAGCGGCGGCAGGTGAGCTTGCGCGCAAACCGCCTCTGACCGCGTTTGGGCATATTATTGCCCGAGAAGGGTTTGAGTGCGCCGGCGCGAGGAAGCTGCGATGGGCGGGAACACGGGCGCTTTGCTGAACATTGGCGAGGAGAGTACACTCTAGAGAGTGGTACAAGAGGGAGCAGGAAGCAGCGCGACGAGGGAATGTGAACCAGAGTGCCCGAGCGCTTGCCGTGGTGCCACTACGAGACCGTCTGTACCGTATGATTGTAACAATGGCCCGTCTATACAATGTCTATACAATGTCTATACAATGTCTATACAATGTCTATACAATGTCTATACAATGTCTATACAATGTCTATACAATGTCTATACAACGTCTATACAATGTCTATACAACGTCTATACAACGTCTATACAACGTCTATACAACGTCTATACAATGTCTATACAACGTCTATACAACGTCTATACAACGTCTACATAGCTCTGACAATGCGCCTCTCGTCGTTTCCAGTGGGCATGTCAATCGACAGACCAAGCACAGCGCCCACACGGCCCGGTACACGTCCCGCAAGTCTCTTGCGAGCCGTGGCTCATCTGCGTGATGCCCAGCCCGTGGCCCGTGTGCTGCTCGAACGCCGGCAGCGTCGCGTCCGCCGGCAGCGCCGCCATCGCGTCCCGCAGTCCGAGGATCGACGCTGCGCCGCCCGCTCATTCGGCGTCGGGTGAGGATAGAAGTTCTTCAGCGTTTCGGACAAGCGTATATCTGGAACGCTCTGGAGTTTCCCGCGTCCCAATCAGAGGAAGCGTCCTGGCTGCAGGTTCTTCAGGTTCGCGCACTTGATTTTTCCCTCCATCACTAGCTCCGCTACTGCTTTCGCGGTCCCCGGCGCGTTGCATATGCCCTGCAAAAATTCCCAGTCAGAAAACACGTCTGTGGCGGCCAGCAGCGGTGCCGGTAATGCAAGGATACCAACCCAGCACGTATGCCCCGTCGCATTCACCAGGCCTTTCGCGATGGAAGTGGCCTCGCCCACGATCGGCCCCCCAACGGTGCTCACCACAGGGCAGGAAGCACGCCTGCCGCTTGTCCACCGCCCCG